CCCCCTCTTTCTTCTGAACTGGTATCATGCTCTGGACTAAATGATCTTGTTTGGTCTTCATCTACACTGAAGTTAAAAAACACTGTGAGGGGGCTCTACTGGTGTTCCTGTTTCCCACAGTTTCTGTCTCCTGCTGTAGCTTCTTCTGCTGCTTGAAATCTTCACCAGTCTGTTCCTTCTCAATGATGGCTGATTTCTGCAAATGTTGAGGGGCAACATGTGGAGGGAAATGAGACATCTAAATGGGTACAGCTTGAATAAAAGACTTCATTGCAAATAACATGAAACTGCTATTTGTGGTTTTTTTTGTATACCTCACCCCGATTCTGAGAGCACACCAGTAGTTTTATATGTATATATATGCTCGTGTATATGTGTGCATTCGTGTCTATGCATGTGTATGTATAAATATATTGCAATTGATATTAATGTATATGAATTTGGGACAGTGTTTATCAGTTCACTGTGGTACAGAGTACACTGTATTAATGGTAAGTGTTCTCATTATTCGTGGCCCTTTTAAACAGAAAAGATATATTGGGGGAAGGAGCCAGTATTGCCTCTTGTTTTGAGCATCACCTGGGAGAGGTGATATGCATAGTGCAGCAACAGTACTTCTCTGCTACTTCTAACTTTGTTATCCCTTTAAGTGCAGCTTGTAAAAGGTGTGGGTTGCTAGAGCTGTCGGTAGCTTTGGGAGCAAGCTGTGCACTCAGCACTTGGCAAGTTTAGGCTGCTGAGAGAATGATTTGTGTTCATTGAAAAATAACACCATACCTGAGGGACAAAACCAGGACCTGGGACTCAGTCCTATGAGCTTGCAGAAGAAAGCTCTTTCCTCTTCTTTTTTACTACACTTTTGACCTTTCCTGCACTAGGCAATGTAAAATCTTTTCACCAAGAAGAGCCATACCAGGTATTGGATGTGACCTGATCTTACGGCTCAGCTGGGTCTGTTCACTGTGGCTGAGCAGGTGGACAGCATTCATGGTCCTTGCAGAGTTGGTGGCTAATGGAAGACCCAAAGCTGCTTCCTGGCCAGCAATCCAGCAACTTTCAGTCTTCACTAGCTGCTTTCCCCTTTTCTCTGAACTAATCATCTGACTTGTTCAGGGGAATAGCAGGTATGCTTCTAATGTTTTCCTTATATTCACTTTTAATTTATGATCCCAAAGTTAAGCAAGCCACAGTGTTTCTATTTATGATCTTAAACAGCTTGCAGTAATTGTCCTTACACTAGAAGGGACAAAAAAAGAAGAAAAGCTAAATCTAGTGAAACTTGCAGCTGTGAGTTACTGGATGGTGCTCTCATTGCTGTCACAAGACTAACGTGCCTGCTGGGGTATTTATCTTCTCATGCGGGAACAGGAATGACACAACACCAATATGATGATCAGGTCGTTCATTTATTCTCAGATTCTGGTTACATTTATAGTATTCTATGTTCCATACACATGTGGTTATCCGTTTCTAATAGGCTGCATGCATTGTTCAGGCGCTTCTACAAGCATTTACATTGGTTAATTATATTTGCGTAAATAAAGCCCCAAACTTGCCAAAACTTCTTTATCTCGTATCTTTGTTCTGACCACAGCTGCTACTCCTTTTGCTGACCACAGGTGTTCATTTTTTTTTGCTATCTGTTGTTAACTTTGTCTTTGGCCCTGTACTTTCCCATCTACATTCTTTTTCACTGACTTTTCCTTCGGCTCTGTATGTTTCTATCTACGTTCTTTTCCCATCAGCTTTGTATTCCTGTCTGCATGCTTTCTGCATTAGCTTCCATCTAATGCAGCCCAGACCCCTACACATACCCTTCAATCTCCTGGTCTCCCCAGCATGTCCTCAACTTGTCATTGCCATGGCAGGTCTATTGTGGTTTGGAGCAGCCCCATGACTGGTGTCTGCAGTGATCAGACATGATTACCTCTGACACCTGCCATTTCCTTTCCTCTAAGAGCAATTGTGGACATGACCCTCTATTAGACAGGGTCCTTGAAACACCAAATTGCACAATTCCAAAGAAAATGGATTTAAAGCAGCTCCTGTCCTTGGTGTTCTTGGAAGGAAAATAATGCCAGTAAAGCACAGTGCTCTGTCAGTCTCCCTGACAGCTTGATACTACCCTTTACAAAAGGAAAACAAGACAAACCTCTCATGCCCAAAATAACCAACAACCCCAAACCCCAAAGTTTTCAACCATGTATTACTGTTTTCTGGTGTTAGGTCCTTGCACCTAGAGCTGCTTAACTGCATGTTCTGTGTGTTTAAAGCAGACTGCTCTCTTTTTACTTGTCCTTTGCCTTCTCCACTGCTTCTTGGCAGCTTGCCTATACACATCCACTGTGTTGCTTTGATGATTGATTGCTTTTCCACCACAGATCTCTGTCAAGCAATGTTTTCATACGCTGCCTCTAATACAATTAATGCCATAACCCTACTTTCCTAACCAATGCATCATTTGCTGGTTAGGGAATCCTTGTATACCTATCCTTAGGTAGTACCTAATTTATCATTGTTTTATGCAAAAGGTTTTTTAATCTAAAATTGCTGTTACCAAGATGTACTGGGCTGTGATGGAGTTAACATTCTTCAGAGCAGCCCCCATAGTGCTGTGCTTTGGATTTCTGTAAGAGTGTTGATTACACACTCTTTTGACAATTGCTTGGCAGTGCTTGCACAGCGTCGAGGGTCTCCCCGTTTGTCACTCTTCATCCCCTAGCGAGTAGGCTGGGAGGGGGGACAGCTGATCCTAAGTGATCAGAGGGGGATCCCAGACCATATGACATCATGCTTAGCAATAACATTGGGGATTTTGTTTTCCAAACTGACTTGGTCCATGACTGTAAGGGCATTGGTTTGCTTGTGGGTGGTGGTGAGTGACTGCCTTTGCATCACTTACTGAACTGTCTCTATGTTGACCCATGAGTCATCTTGCTTCTGGTTTCCTGTTCTTTCCCCTATCCTGCTGGGGACAGGGACAGTGAGCAAGCGGCTGTGTGGATGCTTGTGGAACTTTTTGTCTGCCAAACAAAAGTTCTGCCTACTTGTTTTGAAGTCATAGGCTGAATGATTCAAGGGGAAATGATCACCTAAATTCCCCGACCTAGGGCTTGGCACAGACAGGGCCTTTGAGATCTGAATTGCTTATTTTTATAGCATCTGACCCATGCTTGAATATGACCTGCCCATCTCAGTGTGTGTCTTGAGTTTTGCAAACCTGGATGGTGTTTTCTCTCTCCTTTTTCATATGCTTGGCTTCACCATCACATACTAATTCCATCTTTGTGATGAAGTTACTTGGGTGTCCTAGTTGCAATCACAGCTCTGTATTACTTAAGCATAACACACAGGTGAGGATGCATAGTTCCTGCCCAGTTCTTTCCAGTTCAACTGGAATAAAGGGGGAGGAAAACATACATATCCCACAGAGTGATGGGGACAACAGTAGGAACGAGGTGCCTTCTTCCCAGCCCCTTCCTTTTAGCTATATATTTCTGCCCTCTTCAGCTTTCATTGCAGATGACTCTTCTTTCATATTTAACATTCATCTTCACAAGCCAAGGCATTTCACAGACACCCTACATTTGTTTATCAACCTCTTCCTTGTTCCTTTTTTTAAAAGTAAAGCTAAAACCATCTCACTCACCTTTGGTTCTGATGTGCCGTCCCAAACAAAATCCCAACTGGTCTCCCTTGCTGATGGGTAACTGCTCTAAGTAGTTGTGATGTGTATCCTCTTTACAGAAGACATCCCATTGAAGAGCTGCTACCTTTGCCAGTCCAGGGCCTTGTGAGGCAGCGCCATTAAACAAGTGTTCTTCCAGCTCAGGGGAAACCTGGATCTGCCTTAATGGCATGTGAATGACAGTGAAACATGCTGGAAAATAAGCACTCATGACTTTTGATAGCCTTGGATGACTTGTGTCAAACCATCCAATTTCCTTCCATAGCAGAGTAATAGGTCTTGTAGATAAAAGAGAAACTGTAGATACCGTGTTGCTCAGGTTTTGTGAGGCTTCTGGTACTGTCCAATGTCATATTTTCTTATGCAAGCTGGAGAGCTTGGTTTGATGAAGCCATTAGCAGCCAAGCAGGCCAACAGTCAAGAAATAGCAGTTCACTGCAGTGTGGAAGGACCCAGGGAGCGAGACCATACTGTGATCTGTACTGGGTCTGACTATAGCTGGTGTTTTCCTTAATAGCATTGGTAATGTGAGAATATGCTCATTAAATGTATAGATGGCATAAAGCTGGGAGAGGCGGCATGTGCATTTGAAGAGAAGAACAAAATTCAAAATTAAAGGGTGAAATTTGAGAGACAAAAAGTGAAGCGTTTCACCTGGACTGTAGTAACAAACACCAGGGAACCAGTAGTCAGACAGCAGTTGCAGAAAAAGAGGGAAGGGAGATAACTAGGTGTATTGTTGTGGAAAAGGAATACATTTTCAAGGGATGAATAAAGAGAAAGATTGCTCTACTCGGTATCTTCAATGGAGTAACACAGGCAGTTTTCAGCATGTCTGGAAAGGTATAGGTCAGTTGGAGAGGATGAAGAGGAGGCCAGTATGACTGATCCAAGGTATGGAAAACCTGACCTGGGAGGAGACACAGAAAAACACTGAAGCTGTTTAGGTTAGAGAAAAGATGGCTGAGGGCAGACAAAGTTTACAAAAGGCTGTTAGAAAGAGGGTTAAGGAATAACCTGCTCTCCATGTTTGTTGCAGATAGGATGAGCAACACCAGGCTTAAACAGTAACCTCTGGTTGCGCTTAGACACTAGGAAGGGCTTTTAATGGTGAGGACTGCAAAGAACTAGGACAGCTTGCCTGGGATGCTGTTGTGTCTTCCCTGCAGAGGCCTTTAGGAACAGGGTAGAGGGGGTGGATTAGACCTTGCCAAATTCCCTTCAGCCCCGTTTTTCTGTGTTTAACTGCAGTGAGGAACTGTTGCCTTGCTGTTGGTGGTGAGGCAATCCCTCACCATTCCTTAGCTCTCTCCTTTATGGGACATAGGGAATGTTCTTAGCTGTGGGGGTGGATTTGTACCCATCCTCCAGGCAAAGCCTGTAGCACAGGTGCATCTTCATGCTCCCGGGGCTGAGCAGCTCCTGAGAAGCCTCCTGATGAAACTGCATTTATTGATTCCTGGACTAGCTTTGTTTTCCAGGACTGGTGTTGCTGAGGACAGCTTGACTTCCGTGGTTGTGTCTGAGCTCATAATTAAAAGTCAGGAATAGGTTCTCATTGACCCTTCTTTGGGTTGCCTTCCTCCAGAGTAGATACGTCTTGGAGAAAACTGGTTAGAGCAGTCCAAAACAGAAAGGCGGTGATCTATAAAATAATCAGGGTGAGCAATGAGGAGTCCTCAGCTTGATCTGGTTTAGCAGAACAGACATGCATTAGATCTTGCTTCTCCCCTGAAGCACATCCCTCCTTGTTCAAAATGCTTCCTTGTTCCTAGCTGGCAGAGAAGTCCATTGCCTCCCTCAGATTTTCAGCCTCTTTGACAGCAGATACTAAGTTCCTTCAATTCCCCTGAGACTGCTGCTCTCAAAAACCCAGTCTGCAGTCTCTAGTTACAGAGGATTTAAAGGGAGAGAACCATTGTGATGAAAAAAGAAAATAATGCAGAAAAAATGGAGAAGAGCAGTCTGGAACCACAGCTGGATGACCCTTGTGTTTAGCTGTGTTGTATTTGGGTGGCATTATCCAAATGTTTTACTGAAGTCTCTCCTGCTTTCCCAGCTCATGTTGCTCTGCTGTCCTTCACTGTGGGAAGCTGTGACTTTCTCAGAGGGCAGCTGGCTCTGCCCTGGGACTCTGCCTCTGCCGCCAGCTCTCTCTGGCCATGTACCCCCCTGGCCAGCACGGCTGCTGGGCTCAGGTTTCCCTCATTCAAGTAGTGTGCCTGGTAGCAGAGCATGGGCATGTTGCATGCAAGCAAGAACAAGGGCAGGAAGAACATGACATCATTTTCTATTAGCTAACAGTCCAAAAGCTGAGAGGTTTCCCTCCCCTTTTATACAATTTATGTTGCATTGCCCTGTATTATCTGTTTGCTGTCTCACTGATTTGCATACTTCACACAGGCTAAGATGGCTTCCTACACGTCTACCCATTTATATTGCTCTGAATAGTGCAAGTCGGTTGGAAGTATCCTGGTTTTACTAGTCTCTGCCTGCAATTACACATTTTCATCAGTATTATTAGTGCTAGCACAGCTTCTCATACCAGATCTATAGTCTTCTGCATTTAAAGATTCTCACCAGATAACATGCACACTGAGGGAGTTAAATCAGCCCAAACCTGCTGGAGTGGTGTTGACTTTGTGTTTAACCTTCAGAATTACCTTGTCCATTAGATTAATACGAGACACAACTTTATTTGAGGCTCTTGTCTATTTTCAGAGTTCATTTTCCTCTGCCTTCGTGACTTCTTCATGTCCTTTTTTAATTTAGGCAAGTCCTTACTTGACTGTTCTGAGGTATTTTGCCCATTTCAAGAAGGGTGGGAGATGCAGGACTTGGTGGTGGCTGGTTAGTAGGGAGTCAGCCAAGTCTGGATCTTTCTAGCAGCTTCAGGCAATACACCCTGCCCCAAGCATGAGCTAACACTAAGTTTATGGCAATTGTTCCTTGGAATAAGCAGAACTGTCTTGGTTTTCATTTAGATGTATTATAGCCTGGAAAGTTAACGAAATATTTGACAGATAGAGACTGGGATGCAGGGAACAGTTTTGATGGTCCCAGCCTGCATCTTGTAGGAGGTCCGAGCCATGGAGCCCCTTCTGTTTGCAGCACCAGCCTGCTGGGAAGGTGGCCATCCTGCAGGTCCTGCGTGCCAGGGTCCCACACCTCCTGCAGGCCAGGGTGAAGTGGCCAAGCAGCATTGTGGCTGCGTGCCACTCTCCTGGGCACCTTCAGGAATTAGAAGTTCACCCTAAAGGAATGGAGTAGGCTGTGAAGAGAGTCTTTGTCCTCAAGACTAGAGTTGAGATGAGATGATGCTGCGTGACTCAACATAATGCTGCCCAGATGAATTTTTAATCTCAGCAAATCTAAGGGTTCAAACTGTTTAAGGCCAGAAGCAGTAAAATTTTGACACTTGCTTTCTTCTTTACATTTTTTTGTCTTCAAATATTTGAAACCCTGACTGAATTAAAGACTGAGCTTCTGGTCACATTCTAGGGTCAGATTTTTGTCAGAAACTGCCTTTTCTGAATATTATACACCTGCCTCATGCATAGTGACGTTCACATGCACATGCTGAGCAAATAGACTATCTTTGGGAATGATAATGAAAATAAATCAAATGCCCCAAGTTGCTGCAGCTGCTAGGCAGCAATTGAAAAAGCAGAGACATATCTTGTCCCCTTGTTTGTGGTATTTGAACAGTACTCAAGCGCAGCACACAGCTGTGGCTACTCCAGGAAAACTCCCCTACAGCACACCTAAACCTCTGTGGCCACACACACACACCAGTCAATGAAATACATAAGGGAACTCTTCCTGGTTCTGAGACTGACTGCTGTGGAATTGCCTGTTCCCATGCTGTTATGCACTCTTCCCCCTCCAAAATGGAGAGGACACAGTTGAGAAATCACTCAGGAGCAAATGTTGCCTTCTGCAGTGAAACAATGAAATGACTAGCCCAGAGAACAAGGGGACGGCAGTGTGTATTCCTTATCTCGACTTTAGCAAGGTTTTCAATGCTGTCTCCCATAACATTCTCATAGAGAAAGGGATGAAGTGCAGGCTAGGTAAGTTGATAGTGAGGTAGATTCAAAATCGCCTGAACAGCTGGGCACAAGAATTTGTGATCAGCGGCACAGAGTACAGCTGGAGGCCAGTCAGTCACTAGTGGTACAGCCAAAAGGCCCATACTGAGGCCAGTGCTATTTAACATCTTTGTTAATGACCTGGATGCCAGAGTGCACCCTTAGCAAGTTTGCTGATGACACAAACCTGGGAGGAGCAGATGATAAATGAGATGGTTGTGCTGCCATCCAGAGGGCCACCAGCAGTTCTAGGGAGCTGATCCTTCCTCTCTGTTCAACACTGGTGAGGCACATCTAGAATGTTTGGTCCAGTGCTGGGCCCCCCCCCGTACAGGAGAGATGTGGGCTTACTATAGTGAGGCCAGTGCAGGGCCATGAAGATGATGAAGGGACTGGAGCATATCTCATTTAAGGAAAGGTTTACAGAGCTGGGACTGTTCATTCTGGAGAAGAGAAGACTCAGGGGATCTTATCCATGTGGATGAATGTCTGATGGGAGGAGTAAAGAAGGTGGAGCCAGGCTCTTCTCATTAGTGCCTAGAGACAGGACAAGAGGCAATGGGCACAAAGTGAAACACAGCAAATTCTGTTTAAACGTAAGACTTTTTTACAGTGCAGATGGTCAAACACTGGCACAGGTTGCCCACAAAGGTTGTGGAGTCTCCAGTCTTGGAAGTATTCAAAACCTGTAAGGACATGGCCCTGAGCAACATCTAGGATTGTTGGGTAAAAGGTGTCTTTGTGAAAAAGAGTTATTGGCATTCTAGTAAATTCAGCTTGAAATGAAGAATACTCTTCCAATGTGACAAATGGTGCTTTTTAAGCAGTACTGATTATTTGTCCTATCTATTTTACCACTTATTTCCTACTGGACCGAGAAAGTTTAGATTGTAGTGTGGGATACTTACACCACTGATGTCTGTAATGTCACAGAATGAAAGCTTCCAAAAGGAGACACGGAAAAATTAATTGCAATTAAATGATTATTTTAAACATACTCTGAGGGGGTTTTGCCTACTACTCACTTTCTCCAAACTTCCAGATTCTTGGATGAGCATTTTCCCCATTTTTATTACACTTAAACAGGAGGGAGGGAAAGTCTGAAGCTTGGATGGTAAATGCTCTCCTGGGCTATGTTTTTGATTCATATTCCAGCTGCTGGGTCATAAGGAGCAGTCTGAATTGCAGAACAGACAGAAGGATTCCCAAGGGAGGTGGCAGCCCTACTTTTCCATCAGATGAGGGACTGAATGGGGCACTTGAGGGAGCTATTCACCTTCCCAAGGAAGCAGTGTGGAGAAGGAATATCCACCATCCTCTAGAAAAAGAAACTAAATGGAAAGGATGCTTTTTAAAAGAAGTGTTTTAATTTGTTTTAAGGAAAAACAGTGCTATTATAGCTCTGCAAATAGAATAATTTGAAATACATAAAGCAGCGCTGTGCTATGGGTAGATCTTCTCTTGCTTATGCTGGAGTTAATACTGGAGTGACCCTAAATGTTATTGAGGTAAAATATACTCATAGATTTTGAAAGTCTGCTTTCAAGATGTGAGGATATTTTGCACAGAACTGTAGTGCATGTAGCTACCTATACCAGCAAGTAGATGCTGTACTGGGAGGAGGAAGGGATAAAAAACTAATTTCAGTGGCAGGAGGCCAGTGTCTGGTTCCCGTGATAATCAGAAGGGAAAACTGAGTTTGTTCAAGAGGAGCAGCAGCCTTACTCCAGGCTTTTCCAACGTGCCTGAGATCTCCCAAGTCAGGCCCCTGTCCTAAGTCTATGCTTAAGAGGAGTCTGTCTCTACTGATTTTATGAGAGACTGTCAGTATTAGGCTTTATGCCTCTTTGATTTCAGACCCTACGGGTGCCTGGCAGCTTATTTGGATAGCTAAGGATCTTTAATAGACAGGCCCTTTGCTCTTCATTGGTTTCATGTGAATGCCACCCAATTATTGAAGAAATGTCTGGTACTTACTGGGAGTGGGGAACGCCAAACACCAGGAGCAGAGTTAAGCACTGCAGATCATCTAGCCAGATGGAGATGTAACATGGTGGTCCTGGATGCCTGGGAGAGACCTCAGGGGCTTTGCATGAACACCCTCAAAATGCCAGTCTCTTCACTGGTGGAAAGGGAATGAAATCCCCTAAAAGCCAAGCCAGATTCTAGTTAAAGCAAACAAAAATAGCTAGTTAATGGACCTAAACTAGAGAAGTCTTTCATACAGATTTATAAAAATATGTTAGGGAAACAAAAGAAAATTACATTTAGCTGATTTACTCTAAGATCATCTTTTCTCTTACTTTGCACTTGGCCATGCTTGCTTGCCCAGCTCACACTTTGTATTCTGAGACTGATTAAATATGCTACTATTTAAACCCTTCTTTAAGGTCTTCAATGGGATCCCCTTTGGATTTAAATCTTCCCTAGATTCCTCCTTCAACCCCACTTTTGATGGATCTTTAACCCATGGTGAAGGTCGTGCCTTCTCCATATGGGAAGCACTCATACTCCTTCCTGCAGCAGATCAAGTGTCCTCTTACGTTCTCGATGCCATCATGAACAAATCATTAATCCACAAAGAGCTGAAAGGTTTTTCTGTCCCTGAGAAGGCATGGTGGAAATAGCAAAGTGAAACATCTCTAAGCTCTCAACCTTGTGTTTCCTATTACTGTACAAGCTGTCAGTCATACCTGATACAAGAAATTAATGTGAGTGTTTTATTGCTAGTTTCCTGATGAGACCAGGCATGTTGGTACTCTTTTGCCTCATGGATGTAGCAACCAACTGGAGGTAAGTGTCTTCTTGCCAGGCCATCTCTGTCTCAGAAGAATAGAGAACATGACAGAGGGGGACAGGGAGAGTGTTGGGGTGGCTTTTCTCCTTCCCAGTGCAGCCCCAGTCTTTGAAGTACTTGGGAGATAGGGACCCACCATCCTACTGCAGATGGGAACCAAGCATCTTTGTTATGATGCTGGAAGGATGAAGGCTGGGAATCAAAACCCACCCAGGCAGATGTGCACGAGGATGCTGGAATTGTGCTCCACTGGCCTGGAAAACGAGGGCAAAAAGGTTGGTTCCTCAAAGAGCCGAATGTGCTGTTTTCTAAACTAAAGTAATTTCTTGGCTGTCAGTGACAGCTCCTATTTAGGAGGATCCTGTTTTATAGCTACAAATGAAAAGAGCTGCTTGGCAGCTGGCCAGCAGCACAGCTACTTAATTTACCAATGAAAACTTTGAGGAAATGGGGAAAGTTTGCTAGAAAGCAGGTCTGCTATACAGCAAACTGTGTTTCTTCTTTATGCAACTGAAAATAGAAGAAAAATTTGAAGGATGACAGAAATATATTTTGTGTTCCCAGATTTACTGAACTGTACAAAATGAGTAACTAGAATATGTGGAGTAACTCTGCATTTACCTTTGTCCCTCTTCTCCTAAGTGCCTTTGTCCCTGACTGACAGCCATGAGGACCACCTTAGACCTCCTTGGCTTTAAGGCAGTCAGGCTCTTGCCCTTTGTGTAAGGGTAGAGTAGTTCCAGCCTGCTACATCTGGAGCCCTGCCAAAAAAAAAAAATATAGATAAAAGGTAATTTCCTGAATGTCTCCTCCTGGGATGCATCTCACTGCCTGGAGAGCGAGTCTTCCCCATTGCTGAGAGCTCAGAGGCCACACCAGAGGGACACTCACATCCAAGCCACTAGGAAGAGACCATTTTATTAATGATGGTCCTTGTTGCTAGAGCATGCTTTCTTCTGGAGATTCTCCTCATAAAAACTGCCCTTCATGCTGCCTGCTGACACCTGTCAGCTTTATAGACTTTGCAATGAGTCAGTCACCGAACTGGGCTTAGTAGTGTAAATTTGCATTGGAATAATAATCATTATGTGACTCCACTGACATACATCTCAGTTGGCAACCCTCCTTAAGCATAGGCTCATGGGGCACTCCATATCCTCCCAATCTACCTCAGCTTACCCCAGCTGGTGGAAGAAATAAATTCTGTGGGTTTTATTTTACGTCCCAACATTAGCATTGCATGTTGTTTAATTACTGTTGATTTTGGAAGACCCAGGTACCAAACTTTGTGCTCCACTCCCCTTCACAGTCAGCTGTGCCTTATGTCCCCAATAATTCCAGTTGCCCCCTCTTCACCCACACCTATACCCAATGATTTCTCTAAAACTTCTGCAAAGCCTTTTGAGATTTCTAGCCTGAGATTCTGCAGCAGAAGGAAAGTTAAAATTTAGGGCAATATTAAGTTAATTAAACTTACCATCTGATGAATAACACAAGGAGTACTGTGCAGACCACATTATTCATTTTTCATGTTTTATTCAGTAAAAACTCCATTTTTAATGCACTTAGCATTACTGGAGAAATTCTACCCTGCTATGCTAGAGTTTCATGGCACACAAGCGTTTCTGGAGTTCTGTATTTAAAGTCAAAGTAGTTTTCACTCAAGCGGTAAAAGATGCAAAATTAATAAAAAAAATTGAGAAATCTCTGGTTTCTGGGAAAGAAAAAACAGTCAAACGTGGGGGACAAAATTCCTATATGGTTAAATGAATTACTTTTAATTCATCACCTTTTCTATTATCTCATTTCCTAGAACTCCTGCTATTCTCCTCAGCACCAGTTTTGTCCATAGACAAAGTGGCAGTTCACCTCTTAAAGGTTTTTCTAAGGGTCTCGGTGCTGAAACCTTGCTGCACCGTTGTGGCACAACCCGGTATTATCTGTACAGCTCTGCTCCTGACCACACTGCACAAAGTCATTATTTATGAATAATGCAATGAAATACTACATGGTATAAAGTTAGGATTGGTGAGGTTGTGTGCTCCTTCAGGTTGATTTTTTTCTTCAAGTGCAGCCAAGCAATAGCTAAATGACATGGTTCAAAGAACTATGGATATTCAATTCCAAGGGGACTGTGGATTATGCTCTGAAAGAACTAGCGCAAAATGAAATTATGGGCACAATAACCCAATGCATGCTTTGGAAAGAGGCAGTGGGAATGTAACTTCCCTTGGAGAAAGGAAGGAAATTAATGAAAACTGAAAACATGGCACAGAGACAGCATTATTAAGAAATAAGGCATAAGGAAGGAATCATTAGGAAATGTGCAGCTATGGCTGCAACACAGCACAAGGGAGAAAGGGAGATCAAATGAGCATATTAAGTGCTTCCTCGCTTAATTGCTACATTTATTAAAGGTTATTGTTGATACAGGGATGGGTAGACCTTCAAGCAAAAGCTGCTGCTGGATGAGAGTGTTGAGTTTCACTTTAGTGTTCAAATTTAGTGCCTTTCCTGGTGCAAAGTGCAGAGTTGCAATTCAACCAGCAAAGCCGCCTTCTTGCTAAATCCCTCTGCTCAGAGGAAGAAAGGACCAGGTAGCTCAACCTCTGTGGAAAAGCACTCACCCAAACTCCTCAGGACTGCTGTTATCACCCTAGGAGTCTTGATAATTTCTTGTATGTCAACATTCATCAATTCCTCTGAGTTTTTCCAGATACCATCTAGGTTTGACAGGAGGAGAAAAAAACAGATCACTCACTTAATAGTGAATGAAATATTTTGATGCCTTGCTATTAAAAGAGAAGTAGTTTGAAAGAGAGCTACGCATCCAGCATGCTGAGTCTGTGGGTTAGTGCTGAACCTGCTGGGGAAGAGGTGGCTGTGGGCCAAGATCCCCAGCATCTGTGGTGGGTGAAGCTGGAAAAGGAGGAGGAATACTGCAGTGGCTGCAGTTGGATTTCCCCCACCCAGCTGCCTTTCATCTAGGAGCTGTGGCCGGTATCAGTATGGCTGAGGAACTGTGATGGCATCCAAAGAGCCTTGAGCACAGCGGAGACCCTTCCCTACACCCTGTTCAAGCTGCAAGGTTAAGAGGAGGTTCTGCAATACCATTCTTCTGCCTTCAATCTACTCTCCTCACTGGGGCTAGATCTCCCAGATTATGGGCCATTTGTGTCTGTGGAGAAGTGCAAAGGTGCTTGTGGACAGTCCAGCAGGGTTGGATTGTTTTAGAGGTGAGACTGCATTAGATGTTGGGTTTGCCAGAGCTGGAAAACAGCTTTTTGCTGCAATATGTGTCCATGTGAGTGCTTATGCATGATGCCTTCTGCATCCAGGACAAGAAGACATCATGTTCACTTCTACTATTTATCTTTTTCTCCGTTTCATCCTTCCTCTACCTCATTCTGCCATCTGCCACATTTATGTTCAGCAAAGTCTTGCATTTACAATATTATTTTCCTGACATCTGGAAATAATGTCTAAAATCTGCATTTTTTAAAAAAACTGCAACAAGCACACCCTCGTCCAGGAGAGCTAAGGTTATTCTTCTAGACCAGAAGAATAGACCAAAGACTTCTTTATTTCCCTTTTAAATCAGAGTCTTTTCTAGTTCTCAGACACTTCATGAATTTTTATCTTCTATACTGGCATTCCTGTAGCACGATGGTTGGTAGACCTTGCCAGCATGCTTCAAGCCAGAAGCCTGGGGAGCATCTTTAGCATCAAAAATAAAACTCTGTTCCTGTGGCTGTTTGAAGAAAGGTGTGAAAAGCGGACTTTGGTAGTGTGATATTCAAGTGCTGGAGTGCCCAGAACAGAGCTGCTGTTTCCAGGAGAAGAAATCACAAGGCTGAGTGACACCTAACCAGTGAAGGAGGGAGATTTGTGTGCCTCAAAGCAGGATTAGCATTCTTCATCAGTCTGAGTGGGGAAATGAGAAACAACTGAAAGCATTCCTGAAATAACTGTCTACCTGCTACTGTGGTATTTATACCATCTCTTTGATATCTGTTAGCTGGGGCCTTCTCTTTAGAAGAGATGGTGTGAAAATATTGAATACTTTTTAGTAACTTATTTAGGTTCCTGCTCAGGAAATGAGACATAGTTTCTAAATCAACTTTAATCTGAAAAGGCTTGAACCTATGTTTCCATTTTCTCATTTTTACTAAACCTTGCAGACAACAATAACTAAAAAAAAAAAAAATCCACTCAAAGGCTAGTCATTTGCCTCATGGAAAAGGCTGGCTCCAAAAGCTGATAATGTTTCAATTATAAAGAGATTTCAGGAGATGGAGACCTGTGATAGCAGGAGACTAAAGGTGACTTCAGGAGATCTCTCTCCTCTGTTCTCAACCAAGTCCAGACCTCCCTCAACATCTGCATCTATCAGGATGTTTAACCCAAAACCTGAGGGTTCTCAGTCCTAAGGGGATAGGACAGGACAGCTAAGAAGACACAGAATATGGTATACAGGGTACAGTGCTAGAATGAGGGTTTGGCTTCAGAGTTGCCATGGGTCTGAGCGGGAGCTGTTGTCTGACCCTTGCACAGAAGGAAGGTACTGCTGACAGCTGCTTGGAGATACTGACCCTGTCACCTGCTGGCGTCAGGAAGGAGCTGCAGCTGGAAGGTTCTGCATTTGTAGCTCCTGTGCCCTTTGCTGGTTGCTCAGGCTTGCAAGGCAACTCTTGTCTTCCCCAAGTACTGAGCTCCCTCTGAGCAGAGAGCACCAGCCACATCCCGTGGCAAGAATATTGGCCTGAGAAGCAGCAACCTGGCTGTGGGTAGTGGTGGTACAGCAAGTGACCACACACTGGCCTGCTTTGAGCACTTACACAGAAAGAAATTTTGCCATTGAAAGGTAAGATGAATGTAGCTAATGACACACTGATGCAGTGCCCAGAACTTCTCAGCATCTTGTGCTCGAAAACATTTGCATGACCATGCCCTCAAAACAGAGACATATTACACAATGACAACTCAAAAGGATTATAAAACCATGTTTAGTTTACAGTGTGTTGTGTGGGCTCGCTGACCTATTACTCAGAGTGATATTTTTCATTTACTGGCCATGTAGCATGGTTTGATTTATAACATGCAGCTTTAGATACCAACCCTGCCAAAGAACACAGTCATGTGGAGTGGTCAGAAAAGCCACACTGCATGTCTAGAAAGTGGGTCTCTTTCTTTGGACAATGGGCCTGTGGGGTAGATGTCTCACTGAAGGATCTGAACACTCTCAGCATGGTTTCACTGAGAGGGGAGGGAGATCTGCGCCTTCTGCATTCAGCCTGGAGATGAGGCTCTTGCAACAGCAACTGCTTTGCCTTTTGCATTGCTGTCAGAGTAGTGTCGCTGGGAGAAAATTCCAAATGGGGACAGCTCGTGGTCATGAATTATACAATTCCCTGCTTTCACATTAGGACTCTACAGCAGCCATGGAAATCCAAGGTTGACGGTTCAAAGTGACTCTCCTGTGTCTCTTGTGTTGCAAACATGGGGAGAGAGGTGATGTTATGTACTCAAATGGGCTGTTGGACTGAATAAATAGATGCTTTTAGATGCAAAGTTCATACAATGGCATTTGAGGATGCTATTTCATAATAAATTCTGTGAATAATAAGACATCACTGAAAGCATTCAAAAGTCTACATAGTAACCCAGGATGAGGGCTTTGAGAGAGACTTGCAGCAATAATCATAAATGTCAGCACTGTTTCGAGGAGGCGGATAGTGGATGAGTGCCAACTGATAAGCTCTGGTTTTGTTTTTGCAATGTTTACCTTGTTTGTCTGGGTTGCCAGGCTGAAATTCAAGAATCAATCAGCAGGCTATAATGGACGTATTTTCATTATGCCACAAGGAGCCTCCAGCATCTTTCACTCATGTATTATTCACAGAAATGGATGAACAATTAAGTAATCTACTACAGCATGCAAATCCCAGGATATCTGCACAGCTTAAAACTACACTGAGGTCCAGGCAAAGCCCCCAGTGTCCCACAGTTGCCAAGGCAAGACAAAAATTTTGTGTTATTGGAGCAGTGTAACCACCTGACACATTCCTTTTAACTCAAACACTGGGAGACTGCTGGACACAGAGGTGCCAAATGTCTGTGCTGAGAGGTCTTTGAAGTACCTTCAAGATGGACATTAAGATCCTTTCCATCTCTAAACAGTTCAGGGGACATAGTCTCACTTTAAGAACTGAGCAGTCACCATGGAAAGACAGAGGATGCTTATATTTGTCTGCCACATAAAATAAATGTTATGCCAAAACTACCTGTTTGTGTAACAGTGGGTGAGGCTAATGTTATATGAGGAACCCAGATAGAGCTATTCCCAATTATTCTAATGTTTTCCAAGTGTTAGCAAAAGTGTTTCCCCATTTTTCTTTTATATGTACATTAAAAGTTTATTCTACCAGGGAACTCAATATTAGCATTCATTGAAAGTCAGCTGGGAACGGTTTATATTTATTTTCCAGGATTTCACATATAAAACCTTGAAGACAAATGCTCTGCAATGCTTTCTGAAAAGCCCATAAAGACAGAAATATAAACTGTGTTTTGTGGGAGACATTGGCTGGTGTACAATGGGCAAAGCAGGGAGCGTGCAGGAACAGCCCCACTGCTTACTTTGGAGAGCTGGATACTGTTCTGCCTCTGCCAGAGATGCAACACATGAATGTTTTTCAGTCGAGAGTTTCCCTGCTCACATGCTTCTTATTTTCTGGATAGCTTCACTGTGACTCAGAGCCTGTATGCTAAGAGCTGAAACTCTGGTCAGTGGGAGATGTTTATTTTTCTGACTGTGCATGTAAAGTGCTGTTTAATACCAACTACTCAAAGATCCGACTCTGGGTCTCCCAACCTGAGGAACTGGAATTTGTGAATGTCCCTCAGTACCTTGTCTTGTCACTTCTCCTCTCACCTGTGAAATGGAAAAATGCTCCCTTGACACAAAGAGTCTTCGTGTGAAGAAATCAAATGGCTTGATTCTTGTATTTCAGCCTGGCGAACCAAACAAATCAAATGGGATAATGATGGGTCCATACAAACATTTTCGTAGTCAGAGGAAGGGCTTAAATACCGCGCTATGTGTCAAGGGGTGAATTCTGAGCAACAAGAAGAGACCAATATGTTGACTTCTGTTCATAAGCTGAATGCCATCCAGGGCGTGCAGTGAGTGAGCTGAGTGTCCTAAGGCAAAAAAGACCCTAAGGCAAAAATTTTGTCATTAAATGCTAGCACAACACAGATAAACAGGAGGGGTAAAATGCAGCCTGCACAGGGCTGCCTTTATTGTGTTATTTGCTACAAATTCCCCAGGATGCTGCTGCATGTTCCCTGGCTGTTGTCCTTAGGGCAGCAACAGGCACTTGAGGAAATGAAGTGTATCCTGAAAATAGTTTCTGGGTTTATTTACTTTGTGTTGACTTCGTCTGTGTTTTTATGGCTACAGACTGGCATGTGACTGCATATACGTCTTTGTTTTTTTTGGACCCATCCACAACTGAAAGTCTTTTTCCCTTAAAACTACTCAGAGGTTTAGTTGTTCAGCTTGTTTGTTTGTTTTATAAAAACATGGTATATTTCTTTACCTTGGTGACTTTTGTTACTCTTTCCTTTTCCCAGCCACCTTGACAGCACAAGGCTAAATCCTACTGAATTATTGTTTTCTTTGTATTTTACAGCAAGACTCTTAACTCTCCAAATAAGG